GGGAGCATCAAGACCTAGTAAGATGGGCCCTGTGAGATGGTGTCAGTCAATGAAACGGGGTGTATACACGGACGGTAACAACGAACATGCTTGTCTTCGCAATGCATCCGACAGGAATCCACCATGAGCTTCAGCTAGCGACCGGAGACGGCCAATGTCTCTCCATTCGCATGCTTCGATGATATCTGCAGCTTTAGGATGAGATAGCATGTCCGGTTCCTGCGATGTCTCTATGTTGATGCTGGCATTGGTATTGCTGCTGGTGCGACTGAAAGACAAGGGCGACTTATTATCGCTATCCGCCGGATTATCCATGACTGGCTCGATAGACAGAAAAAAACAAGCAATCTGAAATGGGGGATGTAACGAAGCGAATCGATGAGAAGGGATAGTATCAAGTGGCGAGTCTTGCCATGGCCAAGGTTGAGGGAACCTACCAGCTCAGAAACAGAACAACTTGTTCTTGTTCCCTTGCTAGCTCCTGAAAAGCCTATTTGTTCAAGTTTATGACTCTTCTGCTGTCTTGTTGCCGATAATGTTTGTGTCGCAAGGGACTTGTGGCGGGTGATTCGTGTCACTTGGTGGATGAAGATTATAGTGCAAGCGTAAGTCATGAGAGGTATGAGAGTTGCTTTGCTGATAGGACCGTAAGTAAAGTTGATCCCTGTTTGGATGACCCAAGGTCTGATTCATTCAGATTTGATACAGAGTTAGGGGCCATGTACCCACTCTAACCACCCCCAGTAGTGGGTACCTAGATTTGAAATCACATCCACCATTCAGTTAAGGTACCTACCAGGTGGGTCGCAAAAAAACCGACACACCGATTAAGCCTGACAGAAATACCCGATAGAGAGATCTCCTATCACTGATCTAGTGATTTTTTGTCACTACGGAGATTCTTATATGGTGAGAGAGCTTTCGTGTGCCGGTTAATTTGCAACCCACCTGCCTACCTAGGTAGGTAGGTTAGTAGTCTAGATAGTTGATAGCGGCGAGGGCAGCCAAGCCATACCTAGGTACTTACTTTTGGCACACTTGCTTCTCTATTCTATGTATATTCTCGTTCGAAGTCTTTTTGCTTCTTGGTTTAGCAATGTGGATACGGCTTGCCATCACCATTATCATTCGTTCTGCTTGTATCGCACATGGTTGTTCAGGCTCCTTGACTAACGTCACCTCCACACCCTGTGACCATGGACAATCAGACATCAAGCTTCAGTCTCGATCAGGTCAAGACATGGCACAGCGGACTGCTCATTGGATCGATTGTTTTGACAGTTTGGGGATGCAGTCGTCTACAGCATTCACTCTTGACCTGGTTGGCGTTGCCATGCTGCTGCATTAATTTCCCGATGGCAAGTTTGGTGATGCTTATTAGTTATTTTTTATGGCCATGGACTGTCCGAGACGGTGAATGGCAAGTTCTGATTATCAACTAACAAAGACCCGAATACCTAGACATAGCAATTTTTGTATTATGGCCGCACTAGCAAATGTCGTTTCTAGAACTGCATTTGGTAATCAGTTTGGTAATCAGCTTGGTAATCGTTTTTGTTTGCCATGTAGGGCCATCATTAACAGAGTGAAGATATGCACGGAACAGTCACCCGTTAGATGCTGGCCATAGCATGGCGAAAGGGATCTGGAAGTCTCCGACAACGGCTTGGTGTAACTGACATGTCGTGTTCGAGGTACAAACCATTGTGAGCCACATTTTACAGAGCCGGCATGAAAACAACTTCCCCGGGAGCTATAGACAAAGATTGACTCGCGCGAGCTGTGATAGTCTCAAGACCAAAACCCAAACTCGAGTCATCTGCTGCAGTAGTTGTCAGCTTGGAGCTTTCCCTAGCTCTGGAGTGGAGTTGATGATTGAAGTGTCCGTAGTACGCGTAGAAGTGTCGAATCTAGTGCCGTGGGGAGAAAATGGAGTGGATCACAAATCCTTGCTCAGATCAGTCCCACTAGTACAGCTTAAGTTTGGATTTTGAGAGCTGATGGCGACTAGCCTAATAAGGTACTAGGTAGCTGGGGAGCAAGAAGGCTTTTGGACATTTAGCTGCGATGATAAAATAAGCAAGTCTACAAGAACATTAAATTCATGCAAGACTTACCTAAATCTTTTCATCACTTAGAGCATATTGCAAGCTTCTATAATCCCCATGATAGGAGATCTGCGAATTGGGGTAGTAATTGCAATTGGTGCCGGAGTGCCAAGAGAAAGACTGTGGCTGGTTTAGCGATGGCAAAAGCCCAAGAATAGGTTCGTTCTCGAGATACAGTCGAAGGTCCCCGAATGCTGAGACCTCTTTGTAGATCAAACGGCATTAATAAAGAAAAGCACAAAGCCATTTGATCGATTGACTGGCTAAGCGTCATTGTGACTGAGTTCGTGCCCACTTGATCCTTAGGCGACTAATTCAAGTCGGTGTGACCAAAAAGGCAGAAGGGCATACTCTGTGTCTCGTGTGAGGATGGAGGTGACAAAAGGAAAGGGACGGAAGCTGAGACACTTGGCTGGTCCAGGCTCGGCCTAATGGCTGCTGGAATTCCCACAGTCGTTCTTCTAGATGATTTATTAATGGTTTCGGGAATGTCAAGAGCCGCTCAGGATGAGAATGTGATATGCCGTTGGTTGAATCGGAGCGAAGTCCCATGTACTAGACTAGGTTGTCTGTGGTCGGCCCAGCTCAAGAAGCTCAGCTAGAACTAGTTTTTCTACTAGTCGATCGGTAGGAAATGACGAAGCTGACAAGAAAGATAGTCGAAATAGTGCATCCCCTAAATTAGTTATCCGTGATTTCTTATACGTAGTACGTAATTCGGAGAGCAACTTCCTCTAAGAATCGGACTGCAACACAACACAACGCAACGCAACGCAACACAAATGCCGATGTGAGTCGACAGCCAACCACATGAGGTGTGGTTGGCACCCGTTTGACCTAAGAAGAGCCGCTCGAGTTACCGACCCCCTGGTTCTCGGTCGCCTCTTGCGGAGTTTTGCTCGGGTGCTCATCAGAACCGAGCTGATGAGCCTTGGCCGACTACCAATTCTGCTGCATACCAAACTCCAGGGTCGTGCTTCATGGATGCTTTCTCAAGAATGTGTGGCTGTCCTTGTGAAATAACAGGGATCGGCCGAAGTTCGAGGATTCTTCACCAGTCTGTCGAGATCAAAGGCTCTTCCCTGCGATGTCGGGTATCAGATCGTCATCATTGACGAAGATGGTACGTTATGTACAGGGATCTAGGGTTGAACATGTGCTGTATATGTAGGTATATGTACGTATGTACAAAAATGGTTTCTTCTTTGGCTGAATAGTAGTCGAGATTGGTTCTCGGAGAGGGATTATCAAACCTTAGTGGGGGTTCCACGAAGCAGCCCTCTACGGAGTACTCAGGCGGAAGATTCTTCTCAATCGCAGTGAATGGAGGAGCCTCCAAGCACACCTACCTGTTGGTTGCACACTACGATACAGACTAAAGCAGACAGGTAGAAGGTTGGTAGGCACCTTGCCGACTCAAGGTACTAGAGTTTTCATGGGAGTTACCTTGGACTACCTGGCCTTTGTCACGGAGGCAATTGGTGTTCCAGGGCAATTCTGAGTTAGATACTATGGGCAATCTTACGATGTTGCTTGAAGTTGCTGGCCTGGTTCCATAGGTAGTATACGCAAGGTACCTTAGTACCTAGGGTGAAACCGGGTTGTCCAGCTATCATCACTCAAGGCAACTTGCAGGTGAACAAGGATTCATGGCGCGTCGAGCATTTGAATTTGACCTTTTTAGTGCTGGGGACCATGATTCTTTTGTGTCACTCGTTACACAGACGGAATCTTGCAGGGACCCGACTGGCGCTAAAAATCTATCCGCCGCTCGAGATCTTTACGGCAAAAATGGAAGTGGAGGGCAATCAAGTGGAGTGGACCTCGGGCTTCCATGTCGCTTCTTAAACTTTGATTCCCGTGGAGCCTCACACGCCTCGCCTCGAATCTCTCTCTGTCTGACTCTCTATCTCCCTCTCAGACCAGTCTGATTCTTATACCGACTCCACGCCCCATGGTGGCTCTCATTTCAATTCAAGTCCCAAGATTGATTCACCAGTCCTTGGCTATAAGTGCCAAGCACTAAACGAATAGGGCTTCTGTCTAACACGCTGCCCTGACCTGATCAATGATCGATCCATCCTTGGAACAACTCACACCTCATTCTAATCTCCGCGGTGTCTCCAAAAACACACACACATACAAACCTTGACAGCTCGATTTTTTCTTCTTCCTCTTCTTCTTCTTCTTTTTTTTTTACCTCACAAACAAGATTTGGTCGTCTCTCTATCACCCTTGATTGTTAGTTTCTCCGGTATCTTTTCAGAGCTCAAAATATTCGCGCTTTCGATAAATACTGTATCACAGATCGAGCAAGCTCACTTAGCCCTGGACGACTTCCTTAGCTTCTCTTCCACCCGAAGTCTTCTTCCACCTGGATTCCAACCTTCAGGTATCAGATACAAAAACTTCTTATATCGCAGCTAGCCCACTGCCTAATAGAGGTTGAGACTTTGTTCAAGCTTGTTCATCGACCCCCTCTTCCATGACACGCAGTCTTCTGCAGCTAAATCGTCATTGTCGAAACCAGGAAAACTGCTGTTAGGCGTTAATCAGGCGGCCTCACATTGGTGTTGGACCGTCGCGCATCTTTCTCCACTGGACAACGCCAGCACCAACAACAACAGACCAATATTGTACAGCACAGTCAGTACATGCAGTAGCGAGGCACCTGGCGCTTGAGTCCGTTCAATGCTTGATTTCTCGATAATCTGGCCCCTCTTACCTGATTGTACTTCGACTCGGCATATTAGCTATCACTGAAACGTCACCAATGTCCCGCGTGATATCCTTCGCTCCATCGTTTTGACAACCTCCTGCAACCATCACTCCCGCCCTTGGGACATCATCCGCCACCTATAACTCAATTTCTAATGCCATGAAGCGGACAGAATGGCTTTTCAGAGCAGCGTTCTTAGAGATGGCGAGTGGGTGACGCAGACCGTTAACTTTCAAGATGCTTTGAACGCCTCCTCGACCACGCCCAAAGCTGCCTCAGATTCAAGTCTCAAGGCACCTGAGTGTGGAATACTCTCTAGGACTGTCATTGAGAGCCCTGTCGTTCATTGGATCCTCCCAGCTTGCTTACGATCGCGCTCTCACAACGATATCGCATTCATTGGCGTAAGTCTGCTGTTTCTTCCACAACCTTCGTATCCAAGCCCCATATGCTGGCGTCATCCCTGCCCGTGGCCATTTAGACTGTGATTTGAGATGCCACGGAATTACGCCTTTTCTGGGTTACTTGTCCATAAATGTCGGGGCTTGAGCTTGACGTTGCTCCTCAAAGCCTTTGTCCAAATGCTGAGTTGTTGCTAACTAGCCTAGGATCGCTTCGTCCAAATCAGCGAACTCCGCGATGACGGACAAGTGCATGAGGTTATACGAAAAGCTGACTTTGGTACACGAATCCGAAATGCGATAGTTCTGGGAGGTCCGCCCAAGGGAGACATCCCTGACGCAGCCGCTGCTTCAACCAAGACCGAAGGCGCTGATGTTCCTATGAAAGATGTCGCAGAGGCGAGCGAAGCCAAAGAAGCCAAAGAAGCCAAAGAAGCCAAAGAAGCCAAAGAAGCCAAAGAAGCCAAAGAAGCCAAAGAAGCCAAAGAAGCCAAAGAAGCCAAAGAAACCAAACAAGCCAGCGAAGGCGAAGAAGGAAAAGGGGCCAAAGAGGCCAAAGAAAAGCGTGCACTACCACCACAGCTACTGGTCCTAATGCTCGAGACTGGTGATGCCGTTTTCCTCTTCATTCAAGAGCTTTTCGATGGGACACTGCGCTTTGAAACCACCACGTTTGAGAGCCCCAGAAATCTACAGTTCTTGGGGTATCACCTGTCCATTGACCCCTCGTCGCGATATATGTCTGCTGGATCCGCTGAAGGTGGATTCATTGTCTACGAGCTAGAGTCGCTGTCCCATATGAAATCTCAATATGAGGACGGCGGATCCTTGAAGCCTGTCAAGTCTACCCGCGTTCGAATAACGCAGGGCGTCATACACAAAATGGAGTTCTTATATCCACGACCGGAAGACGATTACCATATCATTCTCCTGTTGATCATTGTTAGACGCGAAGTGAGTAAGCAGGCTCACGTGTCTCGCATGGTCGTCTACGACTGGGAGCTTGGCGACGAACTTACCGCAGTATTTCGGTCAGAGAAAGGGACACCACTGCCAAAAGAGCACCGAATGCCTCTCATGATCATTCCCCTCAAAGTCAATACTGCCTTCTTGGCAGTTTCAGAACACTCGATTGGCATAGTAAAGAACGCATTCACAGGGCAGACGTCGTTCGATACCTTGGAAACACACTCCCCTCAACAGACTAAGTTGCATCATGGAGCTGCCGAACCGCTCTGGACCACCTGGGCGCGACCCTTTAGGATTAACATATACCTGGAGAAGATGGATGTCATTTATCTGGCTCGCGAAGATGGCGTTATTGCACATATTGAGATCGATTCGCGAGATCTAGTTCCAACAGTTATGACTCTCGGAACCATCAGCGCCAATATCACAACCGCTTTCACTACAGCTTATGATGTCTTCTCGGATGTTTTGATAACTGGCGGCGACTCTGGTCCAGGTGGAATCTGGAAGGTGGTTCGCATTGTCTCTTTGTATCTTAGCCTCAGCTAACATCCGATTTCCGCAGCTTATCCCTCGCAAAGATCCCCAACAAGTCAGCATCATTCCCAATTGGTCTCCTGTGGTCGATTTGGTCACGACAGATAACAATCTCTCCTGGAGGAGTGATAGCAGGAGGAAAGATCTTTCGACGAAACGCAAGGTATCATCAAACTCAAGACCGAAGTCGGATCGCATCTTCTGCACGTCCGGCCGTGGGCCCCGGTCGAGTTTGACAGAATTGAGATGGGGCATTCAGGCACGGATTGGCCTTGAGTTCGACCATGACCAACATGTCCGTCAGTCCTGGATGTTCCCAGTTGAGGCCCAAGGAGAGCGAAGCTTCTATGTAATTTTGTCACTGCCGCATTCTACTGATGTCCTTCACTTCCCCGCTGATCTCAGCAATGCGAATGCTCTGTCGCCAGAGGCCTGTCCGTTCGATACATCGTCGCGAACAATCTCGGCATGTCAGACAGAACAGACCGTGATAATTCAAGTCAGTGAGACCTCCACGTGTCTTGTTACACCTACACAGAGGCAAGTATTGACAATCCTGAATTAATTCTCTTTGATTCCGCGACAGCAGCTAATAGAAGTCTAGCTCACGATACAATCATGGTGAAGTCTGTGAAAACCCTCTATTGCTAGCTGAACATGCGTGCTGCACAGATGATATCGTAGTGATATCCTCAAATGGTGCAAGCGCTTCCCAACTTGATGTATTGCTGGTTGACCAAATGAATCTGACGCACTCAACGTCCATTAATGCCAAAGGAGAAATAACTTGCATTGGTCTTTTCAAGACGTCAGCACAGACCTACATCATTGCAGGTTCTGTTACGGAAGGGTTGCCACTCTTAACTATATACTCGCTGGCTGGCCTTGAAATTAGCAGCAACGCCCCTCAGCCAGACCTTGGTAAGTCTGATGTTGGCTGTTGATAAAGAATGAGTTTGCTGAAGTACCCGCAGTTACTCCTGACCAAAAAGGCCACTCTCATATGGAGGCATATACAAGTGTGTTAGCCATCCATGATACCGCTGAGGAGGTCATCTTGGTGCTTGGCACGAGAAGCGGTCATCTTGTGACGATCCTGATAGCAGGAGAGGATATTGCGCATTACTCACATTCAATTGAACAGATTGGCATTTCACCAACCAATGTATTCCCGGCATCTAGCCTCTTTGGTGGAAAGCAGGCCTTTTTCACATGCTGTGACAACATCCTATCCATTATGACGGACTTTTCACCAAAGGGTAGTAGATTCAAGACCAAGACCCGAATCTGGGCAACCGACTCGAACGAACCTTCAATGTCATCACCCCCCGTTCATGCAGCCTTTGGCCTTCAAGGCAGCCTTTCTGGATACGAACGCCATATGTCCCTGATGTTACTATCTGGGACACGAGTTCTTCTCGTTGATATATGGCCGCATGTTGGACCTGTTCCTCGCAACATTCTTCTCGGCGGAACACCGATGCGCGTCATCTATTCTCAGACCTGGAAGGTCTTGGTGGTTGCACACTTGAAGGAGGATCGCCCGACACTCTCCTTTATCGATCCCGAAAGTGGTGCGAATGTCGCAACGGCAGCGAACAAGGATAAGCAGCCGTCCGATTATATTTCCGGCCTAGGACATCTAGGCGACAGGATATTTGGTCTCTATGAGTGGACCTATGTCAAAGATGGGAAACATTTTCCGTTCATCATCGTAACCACTCAACATGGTCGACTGATGATTGTGTCTGTGACAGCGGTCAAGCCTGAGAGCGACGATTGCCCGACAAGAAAACTGCAGTTCTGGACCCGATATAAGAAGAAGGGCTTCGCCGAGCCTATTTACACAGTCGTTGGAGACGATGTGGGTCTTCTATTTTGTGTTGGAAAGGTTCTTCACTGGGAAGTCCTGGACCTCGCGGAGAAAAAGCTCAAACCTATGAAGCAGTTCAGGCTGGATTCTCCAGCCACAACCCTGCGTGTGGAAGGCACAAAAGTCTGCGTCTTGACTGCCCAACACTCCCTTCAGGTCATTGACCTGAACGTGGAATCGGAAAGCAGTGACCCTTCTATTATTCACAGCGACCGAGTGACTCGGTTTACGGGACATGTGATAGAGATGGGAGACTCTGAAGAAGAGCCAGGTAAGTGGCCAGTGAGTCTTATATCCACGGCACAAGCAGGGTTTGCAGGAGTTTGGATCCCATGGAGTCAACGTCATAAAGAGTTCGAGGTTGTCGTCGCAGGGCTTTTGCCGACATCTATCAGGAGATTCCGCAAGGGGCACACTCGACCTTTCTGGTCGGCTGTTGACCGCCAAAAACGATACAATACTTTGTTTAGTACAGCGGATCAGGCAGACATACTGGGAGTGTCTATTGATGGTTCACTACACCAATTTTCATTGATAGGTTTAGATCTTTGGCGGTTCCTCAGGTTGATACAGAACTTGGCATACCAGGACAAGGAGATTTGCCCCTTCGTCCGGAACAGTTGCTCGTCCGGGGCCAGCGATCCGGGGATGGATCTGGATCCAGAGCTCGAGCCCCGGCGTGCCCAGGAGATGATGCATGTCGATGGTGACTTATTGCAACGTTGCCTTGATATGAGTGCGCTGGAAAAGCTGGTGTTGATTGGGGACGGGATTGATTTGTTTTGCGAGTATTTGGACGGGATTGACGATGGCATATATACCGAAGGTTTCCGGGAGACTGGCTCTCAAGGACGAAAGAAGTACATTGAGCTGGGCTATGAGATTCTCGAGTATGTTCTTGCTCTAGCAATCTGAGTTGGGAACATGTCGAATCACGTGGAAGGGCATTTAATATGGTATAGATAAAATAACGACTCTTGACGGTAATAATCAGATTTATGAGTCAGATCATGACTCAATTTGACTTCTGCCTACAACGCTAGGTCATCTTATGCTCAAGGCTTGAGGCTTCATCTCATCAAGTTTGCGTGTTGGTGAAGGCTTACATAATATGGCACATTCACAAAATAATCATGATTCCTGGGGTTTTTGTCATTGCCCCGCACTAACTAGACTGAGCATCTGAGGTCGACTTGAATTACCCGTTGCCAAACGTTGTGACTTTTTTGCGAGGGGCAGACCGAGCAGACCAAAATTTAATGAGTGACAAGTGCGTGCGAGACAGACATGTCGTACGCCTTTTTAGAGACTGGACATGTCACGAGAACAATATTTAAGAGTCTAAAGATTCGCCACTGAAAGGAAAGCCCTGGAGGACGGATACAGTGGTTGCCCGCAGCATTGCCCCGCCTAAATTGGTAGCCCAACCCACCTACTCGCACGCTTCAACCTGGCCTGACCATATAGTCTAGGCGTGCATTCGATCCTCTCTGCCTTGCTTGTTTGATAGTGTGTGTGCGCGTGCGTGCTTGAGAGAGTGACCGAGACCACGAAAATTTAGCCAGTAGGTTGCCTCGTTCGTCTGGCACAGTTTTGTAACGTTATCTTTTTTTGGGCTTTGGTATTTTGTTTCCACCTAGGTTGCCCCCAAAAATTCCATAAATAAGGAACGTTTAGCCCCGCCAACCTTGACGACTGCATCTCGAGTTTCACCCAACGAGACAACCGCCGAGATGCCGCCCAAGAAGAAGGGAAACAAGAAGAACCAGCAGGACGATTGGGAGGCCGAGCTGGGTGAGAGTATTGCCCCGCCTGCCAATGCCAACGGTACCGATGGTGACGCCAACCCCAACGACGACGACGATGATGGCGGTGCCGGTGGCCTGATGGCTACTCTGCGCAAGAACAAGGAGAAGCGCAAGAAGAAGGGTATCGTCGAGCCTGAACCCGAACCCGAATCCGAGGCCCCAGCTACCCAAGAGCCCCCCGCCCAAGCCCCCGTCGAGGCCAACATCGACGATGAGTTTGCTCTACCCGAGAAGAAGGGCAAGGGTGGCAAGCAGAACAAGCAAGCTGCCAAGAAGCCCGAACCTGCTGCTGCTGCTGCTGCTGACGATGCCGCCGACGGTGGCCGTATCCTGACCAAGGCCGAGAAGGAAAAGCTCAAGAAGGAGCGTGAGAAGCAGCGAAAGAAGGAGCAGGTACGCTACAGGTACACCATGGATATAGCATGGTTCTATTCTACCTAAATACAGCCTGCTAACAACCCGACCCCGCGATAGGCCGCTGCGAAGAAGAAGGGTGGCGCTGCACCAAAGGCTGCCCCTGAGGTGAAGGAGAAGCAGGAGATTGCGCCTGTTGAGGCTGCTCCCGCTCCTGAGCCCGCCGCGGGAGGCAAGAAGAAGAAGCTCCCCGCCCACCTTGCTCTGCTCCAGAAGCAGCAGGAGGAACTCAAGCGCCAACGAGAAGAAGCTGCCAAAGCCGAAGCCGAAGCGAAGGCCCAGGCCGAAGAAGACGAGCGCCTAGCTGCTGAGGAAGAAAAGCGACGCGAGGAGGCCAAGGCCATCAAGAAACAGAAGGAGAGGGAGAGAATCGAGCAACTCAAGAAGGAGGGCAAGTATCTCACAAAGGCCCAAAAGGAAGAGAAGGCCCGAAATGAGCGAAAGCTTCAGCAGATGCTGGCTGCCGGTATTCAAGTTGGACCTGCAGGCGAGCCCAGTGAGAAGAAGTCCAAGCCTGCGGACAACAGGAGAAAGAAGGGCCGCGCCCAACAAAAGGTATACCTTGTGATAAAAGACACCGAGAGATTAGGATTCGCTAACCCTAGGCAGATCGATGAGGAGAAGGCTCTTGCAGAAGCTGCTGAGCGAGCTCGACAAGAAGCTGAGAAGGCTTTGAAGGAAGCTGAAGAGAAGGCTGCCCGTGAGAAGGCCGAGGCCGAGGCCAAGGCTGCTGCCGAAAAAAGGGGTGCCGAGAGTGATGTGGAGGATGATTGGGAGGCTGCTGCTGCTTCTGACGGCGATGTCAAGGACAGCTGGGATGCCGATTCTGACGATGAGGCCGAAAAGGCCAACAGCACATCGGAAGCGAAGGCTGAAGAAGAGTCTGGAGACGAATCCGAGGAGGAGTCTTCTGATGATGAGGCTGCCACAGCTGCACAATTGGCGGAGGAGAAGCGGAAGCGAGAGGCTGCTGAGCGCCGTGAAAAGGCTCACCAGGCCGCCCTTGCTGCCCGATCCAAGGATAACCTGCGATCGCCTATTTGCTGTATTCTGGGCCACGTCGATACTGGAAAGACGAAGCTCCTGGACAAGGTCCGTCAAACTAATGTCCAAGAAGGTGAAGCTGGTGGTATTACACAACAGATCGGTGCCACGTACTTCCCTGTTGAAGCCATCCGACAAAAGACGGCTGTTGTCAACCCTGACGGCAAGTTCGAGTTCAAGGTCCCCGGTCTTCTCATCATCGACACACCTGGTCACGAGTCCTTCTCTAACCTCCGATCTCGTGGTTCTTCGCTCTGTAACATTGCCATTTTGGTCGTCGATATCATGCACGGTCTCGAGCCCCAGACACTTGAGTCTATGCGCATGCTGAGAGAGCGCAAGACTCCTTTCATCGTCGCCCTCAACAAGATCGATCGTCTCTACGGCTGGAAGCAGGTTGCCAACAACGGTTTCCAGGACAGTTTGGCTCTCCAGAGCAAGGCTGTCCGCAACGAATTTGAGACCCGCCTCGAAAAGACCAAGATTGCCTTCGCTGAGCAGGGTTTCAACTCCGAGCTCTTCTACGAGAACAAGTCCATGTCAAAGTACGTCTCGCTTGTGCCCACTTCGGCACACACTGGCGAGGGTGTCCCGGACATGTTGAAGCTCATTGTCCAGCTCACTCAAGAGCGTATGGTTGGCTCTCTCATGTATCTCTCTGAGGTCCAGGCCACTGTGCTGGAAGTCAAGGCTATTGAGGGTTTCGGTATGACCATCGATGTCGTCCTGTCCAACGGTATCTTGCGAGAAGGTGATCGCATTGTGCTGTGCGGTACAGAAGGAGCTATCAAGACAAATATCAGAGCACTGCTTACACCAGCGCCCATGAAGGAATTGCGTCTCAAGTCCGCCTATGTCCACAATAAGGAGGTCAAGGCTGCCCTGGGTGTCAAGATCAGCGCCCCTGGTCTCGAGGGTGCCATCGCTGGCTCACGCCTGATGGTTGTTGGTCCCGATGACGACGAAGACGATATTGAGGATGAGGTTGAGTCCGATCTTGCTGTCCTCTTCAACCGTGTCGAGAAAACTGGTCGCGGTGTCAGTGTCCAAGCGTCGACTCTTGGTTCGCTCGAGGCTCTGCTCGATTTCCTCAAGGACTGCAAGATTCCTGTTGCCAACGTTGGTATCGGCCCCGTTTACAAGCGTGATGTCCTGCAGTGCGGTGTTATGCTGGAGAAGGCACCAGAGTATGCCATCATGCTCTGTTTCGATGTCAAGGTCGACAAGGAAGCACAGCAGTATGCAGAGGACAATGGCATCAAGATCTTTACAGCTGATATTATTTATCATCTGTTCGATGCCTTCACCAAGCATATGGACGAGCAACTCGAGAAGAAGAAGGAAGAGTCCAAGATGCTTGCTGTCTTCCCTTGTGTACTGAAGCCCGTCAAGGTCTTCAACAAGAACGATCCCATTGTTATTGGCGTTGATGTCACTGAGGGTCAGCTCCGAATCAACTGTCCTGTCGCCGCTGTCAGGAATAACCCTACAACCGGTGCCAAGGAGATCGTCAAACTGGGCAGAGTGTATGTTTCTAGATCCTCTCCTCCCCCAAGAACCCCCGTTAACAGTCTTATAGTACATCAATTGAGCGAGAGCACAAGCAAATTCCCGTGTGTAAGCGAAAGGAGCCTTCTGTCGCTATCAAGATCGAGATGGGTGGCAACCAGCCCATGTACGGCCGCCATCTGGAAGAAGACGAGACCCTTTATAGTTTGATCTCTCGAGCCAGTATCGACACCCTCAAGGAATACTACAGAAAGGAGGTCAGCAACGATGAGTGGCAGCTTATCATCAAGCTCAAGCCCTTATTCGACATTTCATAAGTAGCCAAGATTACAAAAAGTTAAGAACATGGGTGGTGTGAAGCTTCTACCTCATCAATCGCGCCGGGAGCTTGGCTATATCGTGTCCTGGAGGCGAAACTCAATGTTTCGATAACATGCTGACAGGACATCAGGTTGCAGCCAGTTCCCTTTGCGGGGAGAACAGTACGAGAAATACAATGCATATCAAAAAGAAGAGAATAGGAAAAGAAATTGCATCAGCTTGTTTGAAGGAATTGTGTACGGTGCTGATTTACATTTTTGGGCAGTAAAAAAAGACTGAAGAGACGTGAATTGAAGGGCAAGGGAAGCTCTCAAGGCAACGTAGTCGTATAGAGTAGGGCTCTTTACTAACGAGGGCTGAAATGATTGAATCTCATGTTTGCTGTTGCTACGTCACGAGTGTGAACTGGATCAACGACACCTGCTAGGTATTCAGTCCGATATGCTCTCAGCAGACGCTCGCTTCCAACTCATCACGATAACACACTTGAATAGTGATGGAAGAAGCTGAACCAAACTGGAGTGTGTGGATCCTAACTACTAACTTAAAAGTGTAAAAAAGAGGTCTAACGTTCGGGTAACATATCCGTCATGATGATCCGGGCCCCTTTCTTCCAACAAAACAAACAAAGCCGTTGCAACCATATCGCATGTTCTATTTCTCCTTCTCCCAAACCCGGTGCCCTTTCGTTTTTCAACATTCGTAATCTTTTTAGGTGTCATTCATCTCATCGCATATCATGCAAGCATCACACACGCAGAGCCAACCGAGCATGCATCTGCAGTGTTGAAATTCCCTCCCTAATTTATAATTTACTGCGGGTCGGCAGAGCCCTCGGTCTCCTGTTGCGGAGCGTCGGCATCCTTCATCTCTTGGTCTGCATTGGCTTTCTCGGCTTCCGCAGCCTTGCGAGCATCCTCCTCAGCCTTCTTCGCAGCCCGTTCGGCCTCGGCTTTCTCCAGAGCGGCTTGTCGTTCAGCCTCGACTTTCTCAAAGTGACGCTGGACAATGGGACCAGCCATGGCGCGGATCTCGTCAATCTTGGCGACATACACACCCTTTGTGGTATCATCACCCTCCTCGTACAGCCAATCCTAGAATTGCTATTAGTATGAATCTTCGAGCTTTCAGGGAACTTGTGAACATACCTCTGTGGCCTCAAGCTTGGCCTTGATGGTCTGCTTCTCCTCTTCGCTGGCAAACTCAGAGTACTGCTCATCCAGTTTGGCACGGAGGTCGTAGATGTAAGCCTCGAGCTCGTTCTTCTTCTCCTCGGTATCGGCAACAAGCTTGTCCTCCATAACCATGGCAGCCTCCTTCTCGAGAAGGCTGGCCTTGGTGGAGTCGTCAAGAGAGGCACTGCCTGTGGAGATGGGCAGGTCACCCTTGCGGACCTGCTTCTTCACCTTGCGAGTCTTCTTGGGGGCATCCTTATCGGTCTCCATGGCCTTTTGGGAAACGAATGTTAGCGATCGGGGTTCATAATTCGATTCTTCTAAATGTTCTGGAACAGCGAAAGCGGGACGAGACGAGTCGGTTTCTTCATCATCATCGAGTCGCGGGCGCTTTGCAGGATATGCTCGGCTATCATCTCCAACGGATGCGGACGATGAAGAGGCCGAATCCTGATCTTGGACATGGGGGGAATCATTGGGCGCCATAAACGGCTCGGACAAACTCACATCGGGATCCTCGTTAACCTCCTCCTCAACCTCCTCTTCCTCGACGTAGTAACCAGTCTCGACGTTCAGGACGCCGTGGATGTTGACACGGGCCTTGAGTTTGCAAATCATGAAGTCGTCCTTACCATCGGCCTTGACGTTCTTGACAGAGAAACGGCCAATCCAGGGGTTAGTCTTGCCGGGGAGTAGCTCAGGCTGGGCGTATCGGGCCTCGAGATCGAAGGGCTGTTTTCGATAGAAGGTAAGGATCTTGGTCGATGGCATGACGTTGCCCTTGTTGAAGACAGTCAGGCTGGTGTCCTCGTCAGGAATATCGGGGGCCTTCTCCCAGGCGAACTCGATGGGGTAGCTGATGATGTCCTGGACGGAGAAGTCTCGGACACGGAAGACAGGGGAGAGAATGGCACAGCTGAAGGCAGAACCACGGGCAAGAGCCTCGTCGGCGTTAAGAGTAAAAGAGAGAGGCTTTCCAAAGAACTCCTGGATGCGCTCCTTAAGAGCGGGGACACGAGAACCACCACCAACGACCTCGATAACATCGATATCATCCTTGGTGAGCTTAGCCTGGGCAAGGGCCTCCTCAAGGGGAAGGTGGGTTCGGGCAAGGAGAGGCTCGATCATGGCCTCGAACTCCTGGCGAGTGATCATGGCAGAAGCATCAATGTCGTTCATGAGAGACTCAATGTTGACAGGAGCTTGTTGGTTGGCAGAGAGAATCTTCTTGGTCTTCTCAGCGGCGGCGATGGTACGGGCAAGGGCACGGCCGTGGGTCATGATGTCGACCTTGTATTTGCCCTTGAACTCCTTGGCGAGGTGGTCAACCAAAGCGCGATCGAAGTCACGACCACCGAAATCCTTGTCCCAGGTTGTGGCCTTGACAGCGAGCTCACCCTTCTTGAACTCAACAATGGAGACAGTGTAGCTGCTGTGGCCGACATCGACGAAGCAGACACGGCGGGGAGCCTCCTCAGGGGCCGGCAGGTCGAGCTTTGTGATGCCCCAGCCAAGAGCGGCGGCTGTACCGTCGTTGATGAGACGGAGAACACGGAGTCCAGCAATCTCGGCAGCGTCGATAAGAGCACGGCGCTGGACATCAGTGAACCAAGGAGGGACACTTAGGCAGACGTCTTGAACAGGCAGCTTGAGCTCGGCTCCAGCGGTCTGCTTGATCTTGCTCAAGTACATAGCGACCAGCTGAGTGGCTGTGAACTTCTCCTTCTTGCCCAGGTAGTTGATTTCAGCACCGACCTGGCCATTGCAGTCGGCCAGAGGAGCGGTCACATATTGCTGCTCAATCTGAATATCGGGGTCGTTGAATTGTCGGCCAGCAAGACGCTTGAGGGAGCTGACAGTGTTCTTGAGGTTGGAGATTTCCTGGGTCTTGGCGGCCTCTCCGAGGTAACGAGACTTGGGTCCGAATCCTACTAGGGAACTTGGGAATAGAATTGTCAGGATATATGTGTCTGATAAAGGAATGTGGTGGGGGGTTATTTGACCGCACGCGACAAGCAACGGGGTCAAACAAGAGGTATAAACATACGGAGTTGCTCGGTTTGAAACTTCATTGGTGACCTGTACAAGACAAACGAAGTCAGTTATGGGGAGCCCTTACAGTTGTCCATCAATCCCCTGAGCAGTGTAGGAGCGACGAGGAAGAAGGTATGGAGGGGCAGGGCAGTCGACTGGGATGGATGGCGGGGGCGTTATGAGGGTTTACGCACAACATCGACACCGCGGTTTCGAGCAACGGCGATGACAGTCTTGAGGGTTCCGAAATCGATTCCTATACAAAGGAAAGCCATCAGTCAGTTTTGGTGTTGTTCAAAGTTGGGTTGTTCCTTGTGAGGAATAGCGATTGGCCGAGCACCGCCAGCAGGAAAAAAAAAGTGAGTACTCGGAGGGCATCACTTACCAACGACACTCATGATTTCGACGGGTGGGGTTTGCCCCGAGACACGGTATTAAAGTAGAAAGAGGAAGGGGGATGTAAAGTTGAGCGATGCGCGGGTAAGCTCAAAAGAGAAGAAGGAAAGCGATCACAAAAAGGCGGGAGATAGAGGGAGGATCGTGAGAATGGATAAGATAGAAAGAGTATGGAGGGGAAGAGTAAAGGTCGGTAGGGTATGAATGGCTAAGGTAAGGTTGGTTTGGTTGGGCGGCGGTTGTTTATGGCCTGGCCTGGTCCGCTGGCGCTGGGTCAATTTTTTTTTTTTTGGTGGAGGGGCAGCGAATGGGGGATCCCGTTCAACAGGCTGCACTGTACTGAAATTTTCAATGGTTCAGTAGCTACAGGGAAGTGCACTGTATCCAGTACCTGCGGGTCGATGTACGATGTGGCGGACCTGCAGTCAGAGCGATGATGTAAACCAAGTATACACTACTTGAAAGCCTTTCGCGATTCGATTCTTTTCTTTAAGCTGTTTCTAGAAGATGCGAAGTTTCGTTTTTTCAAAAGAGTTTAGAAATGTCTTCCGAAAGAGATGTTCTTCGACTTTTTATAGCCTTGATAGATCTATCTGGTGAGGATAAACCAGCGCAATATCTCGTTTGTGGTCACGTTGAACAGTCGACTAGACTTAGCAGACCCTAGAAACGACGATAGATTTCTGTGCGATTCTGTCACCAGATCCAACAGCTCCTGTACGCAATCAAATTGCCTTACAGTGGATATCAGGGATTTAAAGCAGATACGGAATCTCCACAATAGAGGAAACGCAAGGCACCAGCATCAGCCACGACATTACATACATGGTATGATACATCACAGCAACTACTAATGTACTCGGACCTAGGTAGTAGGTAAGTAAGTACTAAGGTAGTGAGTGATACCAAGGCCTTGACTCGAGCCTTGGCCTCAGGGAGCAAGAAAACACTGGCTGGACCTTAATAGAGGATGTCAAATAAACTTAGTAAAGAGTCCTCTAAGTTTAGACTAGATATACCTAAGCATTTTTATCACTCAGGGTCAAGGTCTTGAGTTTTCTTTCCTCCCCTAGCTTGGATGAAGCAAGCAAAGATGGTGAATGCCTCCCCCCCTCCCCCTTCCCCTGTTGTCTTATCAGGACAAAGTACACCTCAGCAAGTACAAATTGAGTTGTCATGCCCCTCCCCCGCTATTCCACCATTTCAAAGACAAGGCAGACACAAACATGGAAGCTTTGTTAATGGAGGGGCACAAACAGTACAGAAAACCCCTCTAAACGGGTGGGAGCCTCTGATAACGATAAAGCAAGCAGCAAGTAATAATATGGAAGTTTTCCATCCATGGATTAATTCCTCGCTACCTACCTAAGCTCCTTTAGTCTAGTCAGGTATTCAACATGGCAAACTTGACTATTCCATCACATTGAATCCCAGCGCACTCCTAACCCCAAACTGACGACACAAGAATATCTCCATCAAGAATATTGAAGAAATTTCGAGACTAGGTACCTATTTTGGTCGAGCTCAATAATACATACCACCACCTTAAACCGGGGCCAACCTCCGGGTGTGACTAAAGACAACATTTGCATGATCTTGACACAGCCAAACAAACCGTGCCAAGCTGTTCGAAACTAATATCATGCACTTTTCACTCTTGTGCTCCGCCAACTTGGAAATGAATTTTCAGGTGATCGACTGGAATGGCCTGGACTAACTCACCGACAAACCCTCATTTGTTTCCCCGGCACACCGAACCGACAATTTGTCCATGAATTAACAGGAGTAACCTCATGCTGGTGACAGTTGTTGAAATTGCATATACATCAGGACGCCACATGTCAGTGAGGCTATTCCGTTTGCTTTCGCCCTACCCCGTCCATACTGTATCCGAAGTTAGTTGTGCATAGTAAGTGACAGGGTCACTTGGAGCATTCGACCCCGGTCGACGAACGACCTGCCTGACCTTCACTATCTTCATCTCTCTTGTGCTGTCATGGTGGCCCATGCAGCTCCAGAATTGCGGGGTAGATGTGGGCTTCACCATGTTTGGATTGACAGCCATCCAACGCAAAACCTGCTGTTCGTTGTTCGAGATAGCTTCACTTTTTATATAGGTATGTATAGTCTGAGAATGATGAACCACACAAGCAACTGGCTCAACCTAAGCAATATAAACACTGGCTTGATTCGGGTATAACCATTCGCCTTATTCTAACGGCTCTTCTTCAGCCTCCCTCTCGTCATTCGACTAGCAAACGACATGTTTGATCCAAGCCTTGTTTGTTCCCCGTCAAGGCTGGTACCAATGCTTCTCTCCGTAGAATTTCGACGACGAGATTCAACTGGCTCATCTTGGGCGACCTGATTGTATTCGATGGGATTTCGGGAAGTGGTCATATCTCCCGAAATTTCAGCACGCCTCATAGGTGAAGCCGAGAAGCCGTGGCTAGACTGGATGCCCTCCAAATCCCTCACTTGGGAAGATCGGTCCTGTATTTGTTGTGCGATCTCATACTTTCGAATGTTTTCCTCATCCATCAGGAGCTTCATTCTTCCCTGTGTTCCAACTCCGAGATCCGCACACTCTTGAGGCTTCGAAAATACGTGGGATGTTGCTTTCCCCATTTCAATATCCTCTGTGCTGGTATCGATCTCATCTGGATGAGCATATGTTCCCGATGCTGTCTTTTGACGTGCCGAGAACTTGCCATCAATCTTGTCTGGTGGTCGCACCACGCTTCGAGTTCGTCCGAGTTCGGTGGTTGCGGTCGACTTACGGTTCGAGGCAGCCCTACGTGCTTCGTGTGCCACTTTAAACGTCTCGGGGACCACGTTTAGTTCGTCTCCCTGTTTCTCAGCTTGTTCCACTGCTTCTCTTGCTGTCGTGTGAGCGTCTGCCGCCGCCGCATCGGCTCGTGGCCCACCCCAAGTTCGCTGCCCTGCTGTGAATATACCGTAAACCATATACAACCAGTTGTAGAACGGATTAAGAATAAACATGAGGGGGTAGAGCCAGATTTTGAATCGCCGGAGCTTGGCTCCAAAATACAGCATCAGCAGCCAATTCAGCCCCAGGGAAACAGCAATAAACCCCACAGGAAGGTCGTCCACTTTCTTGACTGTAGTTATCAGGGCCAAAACCATGATGAAGAATAGTAATGCTGTTGTTCGGATGGTATTCTGCATAAAACGGACCAATATGAGAACGGGGTAGCGCTTCCACAGGCGCCAGTCCGTCAACATACAGACCTCGTTTGTGATGAAGCCCAGAAACCATCGGCGCCGCTGCTTAACCAGGGACCGATATGTTTGCACAGCTTCGGTTTTGCAAAAGGCCGATGTGCACATCTGGATCTGGTACCGCTTCCTGGCTCCAATCATGAATAGATGGGTTAACCAGCGATCTTCTCCCAAGTGACACTTAGCAAAATCGAACAGGTCTTCACAGTGCTCTGTTTTGTCTACAAAATAATATTTGGCCATTCTTCGAAAAGCTGAGAAGCGCAGCATCGTCAACGCTCCCGGGAGACAAGTGACAGAACCACAGCCAGATTCGACGGTTCGTTCAAACAACTGTCCATGTATGTATTCCATGTCTTGTAGCAGGGTAATGATGCTATGTTTTTTCGTCGTCGATGTAATGACGCCTGTCATAGCCAGCATGTCTCTAGAATTGCCAGGGCTGAGCTCCATGTCGTAGACAAAGTTTTGTAGGCATACATTGTCTAGGATACAGTCGGAGTCGATAAACAGAATGAATAGATTGTCGTTCCGCTTGAGATACTCCTCGTACACTCGGTCGATGAGCTTGAAGGTTACTTTCTGGCAGTGGCGTTTTCCTCCATGCTCAAAACGTGAAATGGTTACACGTGCAGACCGATATGTGACATCAATACTCGTGGGGTATGTCTCCATCTTCATGGACACACCAAGCTTATCGATAGTGCTGAGGTACAGTTCGTCCTCCTCCTCCCCGTCGAAGGACAAGAAAACATGGATACAGGCGGGKGGGKAATCGCATTCGACAACTGAGTTGACAGCTTTGAGGAGAACCTCAGGTTCCTCTCTGTAACAAGGCATGACTATGACGACCTTTGGCGCAGTAACATCATCGAGCACCTGTTTCATACGCTTCGTTCGACCGAGTTGATTTGTCACGACTTGGTAGATACAGAACAACCATGGCACTGTCAGGAGGATCGCGAAGGCCCAGAATGCAAACCACTGGAGAAAAGAAACCATCTCTTTCGGCCACAACTTTGTAACAGTATCCGGAAGTGGCAGCGTCACCACCATGATTGGGAGGAATATGACCCTAGATTTGATATTAGCTAAGGCCATGTTGTATTATGTTACGGGACGGGGCACAGCTTACCGGAGGAGAACAAAGGCAGTGCCAACAATGATGCATAAGACATTAATGGACCAATGTTCTGCCTTCTGAAAGACTTTGACGAGACAATAGACGAACGCTGCCAGCCAGAGAAACCACTCGAGGCATGCCATCAAAAGCACGATGCCGACTATACTGGTGTATATAACCTGGAATGATCAAGTTAGTGCACATGACGGAGAAAAACACCGCAGAATGCCAACTCACGTTTTGCAACGGCCAGTCCTTCAGTAGGGCCATGATTGCAGAGCGGCATTACCTCCTCGTTTGACAGAAGTCGGCAGGCAACGGAGAGACAGTGTCAGTGAAACAGATGGAAACAGTTCGTAAACTCGACCTGGCGCACGGCGACCACTCCCCAAAGATTCGTGTGCTGGAAGCCGTGCTGGACAGTGACCATGTGAGACAGGAGTCAAAGAAGCACGGGGCAGTGCTCAGAAAGGGGCCGTCTCTTAGATTGGAGGCACTGCCTTGAGGTAAACTCCCGGCGGGTGCCCGCAGAATATTGCGAGGCTCAGATGAGTCAAGCTTGGTGACACAAGCCAAAAAACGATTAGGAATGAAATTGAAGGAGAGCAAGTACCATGACTATCAGAGGAAACTGCC